TGTCCGTCTTCGCGGCCATCGCCGCGGATCCTGCGCGTCTGTCTCTGGGGCGCAGCGCGGCAGGCCACCTGCGGTGGCCCTCGGTTCAGCTCCGCACCAAGCAGATCACTGACACGCTCTGGCGCGACACCCGCGACATGAGGGCCGATCCCGTCACGGAGGGGAGCATCGGCCAGGAGCTGATATTTGACCCGACGCGCGGGAAGCTCAAGCGCGACCACGCCACGGCCAGAGCGAGCGAGGAAAGCCGCGAGGAGACCGCGTCCAGCTTCCGCCACAGCGACCTCAGGACGGGTGAGGAGAGAGTATCACCGACGGAATGAGCAGCCAGAAGTTTCACGACATGTACTTCGGCTGCTGAACCCTGACATCGGCGGTCGCACGTCGCGAACTGCCTTCGCGAATGCGACAGAGGGAGAGGCAAGGACAGCCGCATGTCGTGAACGATGTTCACGGATGCGACGTAGCGGTGTAGCAGGACAAATGGGATAACGCTCACGTAAGGCGAACTACGTTCGCAAATGAGCCGTGGCCATGAATAGCGTTCGTGGAGCGGCATATGTTTGGTAATCATCATGCCGTGCTCCTCCAGTTGTCCGCTCTTCTCGTTATTCTTGCTGTTTTTTTTGCGAGGGGCCTGGTCAATAAACTGCCCCTGTTGTGACTTGCCTTCAATCGCTTTGGTGCGTCAGCCTGCGCTGGATAGTTCTGGGAGCCTTGCCGGGAGTAGTTGGCGCCCCCCCCTGAAGCTTTTTGACGTGACCCCGTTGGTTGCGACACGGTCTCCGCGCTGCAACCGACGGGGTGCAGGCGGACTCGTTTGAGCACCAGACTCGACAGGTAGCCTACATGTCCTTCCTGCCTTTGTTGCCTTGTAATTGTTTCCCCTTGCCGCTGCCGCTTGGCCCTGGGGCACGGGAGGTTGCGGCGCTCCCGTGCCCGCGTTAGACGCGCGTTAATTTCTACCGCGTTCGGATAAAACCATCACCCGTTTGCCATCATATCCGTTTTCGTAGTGTCGTCGTCGTCGACGTCGTCGTCGTCGTCGACGAGCACAGCGGGCACGCGCAGCTCCGCCGACCCCCCCACCCTTCCCCATGGAACATCCGCAGTGCGTCGTCGTCCGCCGTCGCCGCCGTCGTCGTCGTCGGAGGTGAGGGGGTGAGATCGAAGTGGAACGGAGAGCCCCCTTACCGGGAAATCGATTTCGGTTTCGTGTTCGTGCGTGCCGTGCGGGCGGGCGAGGCGAAGCTGCGTGGGCGGGCGAGAAAAAGTCTCCTGTGGCTGAGGCGCGGCCGGACCAAATGTCTCCCTTCCGGGCGGCCGGTGGCCCGCGGTGTCCCGCCGGTGTCCCGCGAAAGTCCCGTGTGGCTGTGGCGCGGCCGGACCAAATGTCTCCCTTCCGGGCGGCCGGTGGCCCGCGGGGTCCTGCCGGTGTCCCGCGGTGTCCCGCGGTGTCCCGCGGTGTCCCGCCGGTGTCCCGCGGTGTCCCGCGAGGATGATGATGATGATGATGATGATGATGATGATGATGATGATGATGATGATGAGATGATGAGATGATGATGATGATGATGGTGTCCCGATGAAGATGATGATGTTGATGATGGTGTCGATGATGATGATAGTGTCCCGATGATGAGGATGATGATGCTCATGATGATTATGTTGATGATGATGACAATGATGGTGTCCCGATGATGATGATGATGATGATGATGATGATGATGATGATGATGATGATGATGATTCCGATGATGTTGGTGATGATGATGTTGATGGAAATGGTGTCCAGGCGGTAATGATGTTGGTGATGATGATGTTGACGATGATTATGGTGTCCCGATGATGATGCTGATGATGATGGTGATGATGATGGTGATACTGATGGTGCCCCGATGATGATAATAATGATAATGATGATGTTGATGACGATGTTGTTCATGATGATGATGGTGCCCCAATGATGATGATGTTGATGTTGTTGATGATGATGATGTCGATGATGATGATGATGCGATGATCATGATGATGATGGTGTCCCGAGGATGATGACGATGTTGATGATAATGTTGATGCTGAGAACGATGGTGATCATAAAGGTGTCCCGATTATGATGATGATTATGATGATGCTGCTGATGATGATGACGACGACTGTGTCCCGATGATGATGATGATGATGATGATGATGATGGTGGTGATGATGATGATGATGATGTTGATGAAGAGATGATGATGGTGATGATGATGATGTTGTCCCGATGATGATGCTGACGTTGATGATGATTTTTTATGACGATGATGCTGACGGTGCTCTCATGATGATGACGATGTTGGTGATGATGTTGATGTTGATGATGTTGATGATGATGATGATGATGATGATGATGATGATGATGACGTTGATTGTGAGAGCGATTGTGATATCGATAGTGAGATCGATATTGAGACCGAATGTGAGATCGATTGTGTGATCGATTGTGAGATCGATTGTGAGATCAATTGTGAGATCGATCGAATGAGATAGATCGAGTGAGATCGATTGTGAGATCGATCCAGTGAGATCGACCGAGCGAGACCGATAGTGAGATCGATACTGAGATCGATAGTGAGACCGATCGAGTGAGACGTTGGTTCCCCCCCCCCGAACCTCCTTATCACCCGAAGGGTGGTCGTATAGGTAGTAGGATAGTGTCGTGGGGGGGGCAGGTGGAGAAGGATAAAGAGGAACCCTTCCCGCCTGCCTGTGTCTTCTCCCCCTCTTTGTCTTCCCCCCTGCTTTTGTAACCATGTTGGCACCGCCCGCCAGCTAAGGTGCCTCTTTCCCCGCCTCCTCTTTCTCTCCTTTCTGTAGCCGTTTTAGCCCAACGGCCCCGCTATAGCGGATGCGTTGTTGCCCCCTCTCCGCTGAAGCGGCGCCGCTTGCGTTGCGCCTGTCGCCCTCCTGCTGTCGGCCGGGCGTCGGCGCAATCACGGGCGCCGCCGCCGTGCGCTTCCATTTGGCACGCGCCCCCCCCCTCCCTCGATTCGCCCGAGCAAGGGAACCATTGTTTGAATCACGCGCCCCGCTTGTTTTCGTTAGCCACAAGCTGACATTACCCCATACATTTACTGTTCCCCCAAGGGGGGGGGGAGGAGGAGGCAGGAGAGGGCAGGACGGGCTGATGAGGAGCACGGAGGGGAACTTTGTTTCAAAACTTGGACCAGCGGCGCGGCATCGGCAGGAACAGGGTTATGAGTATGCCGCGCTGTGTGAGTTTGGTTTGTTTCTCGCAGCCCTTTCTCCCTTCCCCCCTTTTCCCTCCTCCCTCGTCCTTATCCGTTTGCCCGAGACGGGGACGACATGTCACTGTTGTTTGCACTGCGTGATTCCTTTCTGCGAGTCTCCAATTCGGTCGGCATGCCTTTTCGTGGCCATGCTTCTCGCCCCTTCTTCGCCTCTAGCCCCCCTGTGCATCATCTCTCCCATTGCGTTGGGGCGGCAATTCCCGCCACTTGCGCTATGGGGGATGTATGCACCAACCTCTATATGCCTGCTCTGGCCCGCGTTTACGTGTCCCTCCAGTTGATGCGAGTTCGCGCGGGGCGACACTCAGATTATGGCGCCTTCTCCCTTTCACCTCCGCCGTTTCTCAAATACCCACTGGCGCTGCCGCGCATATCCGCCACCGCGTTTGCGGAAGCGACGTGGCGAGGCAGCAGCGGGGCGAGGCAGGCAAGGCAGATGTGGGCCAGAGTCTCCCAGATTGTGCTGGAGAGCTCCACGTCGGCCCCAGGGGGCGCCAAGATGGCACCACAGAGCTCCCGCTGATTCGAGACCTGCCCGGCAAGTTCGAGAGGGCTCAAGGAACTTGCACGGGGTTCGCATCAGATTCCGATCAGTTCTTTAATGGAATAGTTCGCAACAGGCCCTCAAATACCCGAAGAGAGCCCCCAGAGCCCTCGACGGCCCACAAGGCCCATCATACTCCTGAGGCGGCAGACTAGGTCGACTGACCAACACAGCAGACCAGCGTCATGGTCTCCGAGCTAGCGTCGAACTAAGCGTTGAGAGTTGAGCGTCTTGGAACTTGGAGGCAGTTTCTGCGGGGCGTGGTCTCGGAGGAGCCCCAAGACGGCCGAATATTTAGAATGATATAAACAACAAGTTGTTTTGGATTATTGGCATTCAGAATTAAGGCTTTGGGAGGCATCTGAAAGGCAGTTGTTGGGCCCCTTCGGGGGCATCTTGGAGACACCTTGGAAGCCTCTCGGGGGCGTCTTGAGGCCGAAGGCTCGACGTTTTAGTTGGTTCCCCCCTTTCAGGCCCTTTCTTGGGCTCGTGAAGACAGCCCTCTTGGGCCATCTTGGGCGCCTCTTGCGCTGTCTCGGCCTTCTAAGGCCGTCTTGGAGCGTTCTTCGGGCCCTCTTGGACGCTGTGAATGCTCATGGGGCGAATCTGCTAAGCATGAGCGCTTTCCGAAGGCACTGGGGCGATGTTTACCTCATGGGGCCCTTTTGGGAGGCCTCGTGGGGGCCTCTTCGGGTGTCTTGGAGGGTTCTTGAGTCGTCTAATCTTTCGGCGACTTGGGGCCCTCCTGGAACGTCTTGCGGGGGCTCTTGGGAGCCTCTGTGGGCCCTCTTGGCCAGTTTGGGAGCCTTCTAGGCCCGCTGTGGCCATGGGGACGAGAGGGCTGGGGGGCGGCGAGCGCTGGGGAAAGGTGATGATCCATGGAGCCCCCTCCCCCGCACTTTGTACCTGGACACGTGTTCTGCCTGGAAGGCCAAACACGCAGGGACTTGAAGACACGCATGGACGCATCTTGGGGGTTCGATGCGTCGGGGGGCCCAATTATTGTTTCGCGAGAAGCGAAAGGGCCCACACACACACACACCGCTGCAAGCGCGGTGGCGGATTGTTGGGCAGACGAATCGCAGGCGTAAGAGTAGGAGGTGAAGAGGAATAAGACGTGGCTTCGGATTGCGAGCAAGAAAACAAAAGAAAAGTAGCCGTCTCAGATCCTGCTTCCAGCGCGAAGCGACGATGAGCAGAGCCTTCACCCGAAGCGGGGCGACGCCACATGCGGACTACATGGGGGATCGTGCAGCGTAATGTAGCCAGCAACACCACCTGGTGGACATTGTTTATTCTTTGCGGTAATGAGCAGGGTAGCGGGGTGAGCGGTAAAAAGGGAAACAAGAGGATGGCGACGAGTAACACATGGGTGAGCAGCAGGCAGGAGAGAGAAGAGAAGAGAAGGTTGAGGGAGAGAGAAAGAAGCATGCATTATTTTCGGGGCAACGGCATCATCAAACCGTATGAGTCTGAATCTGGGGTTTATCGCGTGCCGTTCACCACTAATGCCCGAGCCCGCCTGCGACGAGACCTGCAGCAGCAACGATCACGATTGGGAGCCAAGCGCTGCCAACAATGTCAATGCATTTCAACAACGAGAGAATGAGCAGGATAATGCATGTGAAGATATATTGAAACATGCAGCATAGCAGACTAAAGAAATCGCTTTGGAAATGCAGTGACACATGGATGGGAGAGAGCTGCAAGATGGTGGGGAGGAAGAAGACGGGCCAAGACAAGGAGGGAGGGATAGAGAGAGAGAGAGAGTCCTTCAGACAGTCTCGATGACATGCCTGCGACATGGAGTACGACAGCCAGCATGAGCATTCCGGCGCCGATCCTTGCGATGCGTTGGATCATATCCTCTCTCCACCGCGTAGTCAAACGCATGCACCATACGAGGCTGTCTGCAGCGATGGCCAACGGCAGGGCCACCACGAAAAGACCTTCTTCGGTAGCCCGCATGATGAGAACGAGGAGCGCCAGCACGGCAGTCATGACGCACAAGTTACACCGTGTGTGCAGGATGCTGCAGCAATGGCCCAGCGCGGGCTTGAGCAACCGACCAATCTTCTTTGTCTTCGTGTTGGTCTTCGGTGCTCCCTTCCCCAGATCGTAGGCGATCGCCACGTGGTTTCGGCCGCCGGCGGGCGGCTCGGGGCCGGCCGGGCATCGTCCTTGTCCTTGGTCCTCGTGGTGCGTTCGAACAGCTGCCAGAGCAAGCTGGCCGCCTCGCCCTTGTCGTCCCGGCGGCCTCGAGAGCGCGACCGGGAGCGCGGCCGACGCCTCCGGCTGGGGCTCCTGACCGCCGGCTGGACTTCGCCCGCTCCCTGTCCTGTCCCGCGGCTTGTCGCGGTCGTTCCTCGGGTCGCGGTCCCTCTGGCCACGGTCCCTCTGGCTGCTTGACCTCGACCGCGAGCGGTTCGTCTCGTCGGTGCCCCTGCAGCGCAGCAGCCTGGGCTCTCCGCGGCGCGCTGCTCCTGTCCAGGTTGCCTGCAGTGCTGGCAGACTGTCGCCTCGAGTCAGCAGCGTCCCGCGAGAAGCCGAAAGCCGAACTCACGGTCTCCTCCATCATGCGCCGCATTTTCGTTTGGTCCTCCTCGGTCTTCTTGGCGTTCTTGAGCTCCTCAAGCTCTGCCCTGGTCTGCCTGAGCTCTGCAGTCATCCAACCAGGCACTGCTTACGAGCCGCCTTGGCCAGATCCCTGGGAGCAGTCACGGTGCTGGTCCTGCTGTTCCAGCCACCATGTACCACTCCTCTTGTCTCGCATCGCTTCCACCACCTGCAAGCATTGATCGGTTCGGAGAGAAAGGCTGTCTTGGACACTATGGATACAAAAGTGAAGACCACCGCGTATACCGGCTCGAGCCAACACGTGGATGGCCCGGACCAGAACGCAAATAGGATGGGAAGCATACCCTCGACAGAATCCTGGGTAATGTGGCACATGGATGTTAAGTAGCTTACACTATGATTGCGAAGCTCCACAAAAGGCTGTGCATTAGGATAAAACTATGTTCCAATACACACGTGTTATTGCAATGGTGTACATCCAAACCATACCATCTATTAGGGCTGGTAGGAAAGAAATGGAGGTTGGACCCGCCGTCGATGTGGACTACCCCTGACAGATCATGGTGCTTCCCCGTGCCTCCTCCGAGAACCCCACGTCCTCCAAGAACGTGTTCAAGACGGCTTTTTTGAAGCACTCGCAACGTGAAACCTGGCTGAACGTGATCAGATCGTCTACGTGTGCGACACCCACCACTGTTTCCCTGACGGACACTAGGATCCCTGGACAGTCCACCCAGATTGTTCCAAAAAATCCAGGTTGATGTCGCACTCCCGGGTGCAGTGCCCCAGGTCGATATTCGTGCATGTTTTTCTCAATGACGCTCCCATTGGCCCATTGGCCAGCCTCCTCTGCGCTGGACAACGCAGTCGCCGACAAGGAATCAGCCGTCGTTCAATTTGAACGCCAACGCTTGTTTAATGTCACCGAAACGGATCATATCGTAATCCATTTAACTTGATCTGTTGTCGCAGAGTTTTGTGGTACGCCGCCAGTTTCCCAAGAGTTTCCCCCGATTGATTCACGATCATGACGTTCTTCTTGTTCATGTCATGAACGCGCTGCAGAAGTTCCTGGACACGACGGGTACTTCTAGCAATAGAAGCGGCTTGGAAGAATTGCCCAGCGTCGAGCTTGATCATACTCAAGGCGCACTCCTTGGTTGTCCCAGATGGGCTCATTTTCGGTATGCTGGCTACGTCTCTGTCGTGCGAGTATGTTTTGCTACACGTCTAACCGCCCTCCTACCCATGACACTTATCTTTGTAGTGAGATATGCATAGTGAAGATGTTGTCGTGTATACATGGTGCGCGTGCGCTAGCGTGCGGGGATATGCTCACGAACAAGTTGTGCGTTCTGTCTATGAACGTGTGGACGTTCTCGTCAGGTATGAAGCGACAGTTGTCGTCGTCCAGAAAAATCTTCCCCAGTCACCAGACATGCCTTTGCCTGGATACGAATGCACGTTGCTGCGAGTTCTTGCCAATCGTCACAGTAACGTGGTTCTCGGCAGGCTCCGGATAGTGCGGCTGGACGTCCTGCGGTTGCCCAGGCTGCAGCGCCAGCGAATTCGGAAGGGTGTCCACCGTGCTGTTGAACGCAGACAGATTGATGATGTGGAGATGGTTCAACATGTCCTTGCGGATGCTGTGGTACACCTCAGACAGACGTGTTATTTGGCACCTGCACGTCCCAGAATCACGGCATCTTCTTCACATTTTCACGCCTCTCGAACCGATCGGCTTCCTCCCAAGGCACCTCCCATAAAGCTCCCAAGGAAAAATGTTTGGCATGTTGAATCTGTCCAGGAAGAACATCAACAAATAGCTTCCCACGCTTTAGTACAATTTATAGTTTTCGCCGACAAAACACCGCCAGTTCGAAATAACATCGTCGACCCACAGTCCCAAGCATTTGCCTGACGCACCGTTTCACCTGGTTGAAAACGTTGTTAAACTTTGTGCAGACCCGAATGCGAAGAGCAGGACAAACGAAACTACCCCATGTGTGTTAAAAACGCAACACTTGTTGGTGTATTCGTTGTCGTCTGACCTAGTCGTGTCGAATTGAAGCCCCACGTGCCACGTACCACGTGCGGATCATCAGCTGCACGGGATCCCCACTTTTCCATACAGTTGCGTAGTTGAGTCTTTTTCTTGGATCTCCCAGGAAAACAGCTAGCCAAATATCGTTCTTCTAAGGTATACATGCGCTGTGCGATGCTTTCCACGCTCATACCCATGTGCCTCCAGAGCACGTGTACATGTGAAGATAACAGGGTGTATTCGGTGAGCTGCTCCCGGCGCTCGCTCTGTACGTGCAACCCACGCCCCTTTTGAGGACTGAACTGACGTTCAGGCGGAATTCGTCTGAGATAGTCACTAGTGGCCGGTGCCGCGGCCACAGCCGATATTCGATCTCCTTAAGTGGAATGTTTCTCGGCCGAGTTGGTTGTTGCACAGGAGCTTGCAGGTGGCGAATGAGGAAACTCTCATACTGGAACACGGCCAGCTGTTTTGTCCACATCGTTCGGTACGAAGCGATAGAGGCACGCGTGATGCTTCCGCCAGAAGCGATATCGAGGTCGTTGTGCATCTGTCTACGTGCTGTCGCGCATGTTACACGCGTGCTCCATGCACCGCCTGTGCACTCCCCCGACGACCACGTTCTTGTGGACACGACGTACACTAGCTTTACCCACGCACCAATGCCCATCATCTTCAGCCCATGCGAAATACAGTGCGGTGTGCCGGGGCACCCAGCTGGGGTACCATACCGTAGCGTACAAGTACAGACCGCACACGCGCCACGACATGCTTGAAAATTTACGTTCCAGGAGTGCACGTTGTGTAGACTTGGAGGCCCCGCGAAGCATGACCCGCAAGAATTAACAATTGTGGCCCCTGTAAGCCATGCAGCGCAAAACCACAGCAGTACTACACGCGCGTGCCATCTTCCACACTGAATCGTCTTGCCGCTGGTGTTCGTGGGTTTTGGGGAATATCACTCCATGCACACACAGCACACGTGCTGAATGATATGGTACTTGGAGTATACATCCCTGAAGCCTGAAGTGACCCACATCGTGATGCGCTTAGATAGAAGCCTGCACCAGTCATCGTGCGATGACACACTCATGCATGACTCCTTTGGAGACCCGAGAACTGTGGCAACTCCAGAGACTAGTTGCGGGGCTCGCAAAGCAGCACATACATGGTTCACATCGAACGAAGATAACCACTGCATATGCTGGTAAGATGTGTAAGTTGCCCAATCACGGAGCATGACCTTGATAGTGACGAAGACAACGAACGTGACAACGAATATAATCATACTATGAAGAGAGAGAGAGAGAGAGAGAGCGAGAGAGAGAGAGAGAGCGAGAGAGAGAGAGAGAGATCGAGATAGAGAGAGAGAGAGAGAGCGAGAAAACAAACACTCTTGCCGATGGTGTACTTTCACGCGAAATGGTATTGCAGCGCCTCGTCAGAAAGGAAATCGCTACAGTGAGAGATGCATGATCTAGTTTCGGGAGAAGAGAGAGAACTAGTGAGAGAAAGACAGAGAAAGTGACAGAGAGTGTGAGAGAGAGGGAGAAACAAACAATTTAGGAGAGAGCGACACACGGAGAGAGAGAGACAGAGAGAGATAGCGAGAGAGAGAGAGAGAGAGACAGAGAGAGATAGCGAGAGGCAGAGGGAGAGAGATAAAGAGAGAGAGAGGCAGAGACACCGACGGAGAGAGAGCGAGAGCGATAGGAAGAGAGGGAGGGAGAGCGAGAGAGAAAGCGAGAGATAGAGCAAGCGAGAGAGAGAGAGAGAGAGATAGAGAGAGACAGCGAGGTCAGAGAGGCCACGTCGGCAGCTGTTGGTGTGATCTGAGCATGTGAAGCGGATGGTCAGAACAATATATACATATCTTGATGCGTCTCTGCGAGCTTACAGATGTTACCCTCGAGCACTCGCTGCCCCCCCACACCATGAGGCCTGCCACCCTGGTGTTCCGCACTTTTAGCGCATCTTACAGTCCTCCACCCGCCCTCCGGTCTTTGCGCTAAAGAATGGACAGCGAAGCTATGTCACCATCGGCGCTGCTCGCTGACGAACGCACCCGTTAGTCTTCTCCTCCTCCTCCACCACGCTGAGAGGAGACCAGGACGTCGAGTGTTGCAGCTGGTTTTGTTCATTATTTAGACAGGGGTGGCTTAACCGCTGTACGTGCCCAGTGCTAGAGGCTATGAGAGATTAGCTTGCTTCCGCACCATCGACTGCAGCGCAAATGTGCCCAGTTCGTTTGGCCAAGCAGTTCTTGCACTGAAGAGTCCTTGCTGGTTCGCGAAGGAATTGGCAGGCCAGCCCCTTGGAGCTAACCTGGGGGCTGTTCTCCCATTGGTGCTCTTCCGAACAGCTTCTCTCAAAGGAGGTCAGCGCGGCCAGAATTGGTCCATGAGTTCACGTAGACACAGTTCCTCCATCGTGGGTCTCGTGCATTAGCTCGCCACTGCAGTTGATCGCGCGCGGTGTCACCATCCTGCTGGTCAGTCAAGTATCCGCATCACAGGCCCCGTTGTCACCAGGCTTGTGGTGTGCTTCTTCCTCGGTAAGGGCGTGCGTCGAATAAGAACAACTACATAATCATTAACGTTCGACGGTCCGCTCGGATTTTTGGATTTGCCGAGGACCCCTCTGGCGGTGCCGCCGGCGCTGCCCTTGGTGCGCTTTGCGCACCAGTGAGGGGGTCCAGGCGCCGATCCAAGAAGTCCGCGCGGAGTTCCGAAGTTCATGTCCATGCAGTTTGTCCTTTTTCGAGTGTGGGGAGCCTGGCGCGGGAGCCATACTGACTCCCACGTTCACAAAAGTTGTTGCGACAGTTGTTTGCTGGCAACGTCGTTCTCGCGGCACCGCGCCTGGCGTATAAATCGAGGTGGCTAGTGCGCTGTGCTGGACTCGGGCTTCAAGCGGATGTGAAGCGCACGGTGAGGTGTCACCATCAAGCAAATTGTTTGATGCATTGTTAAATCAAGTTGCGTTTCTTATTGACAAGAGACGCCATGCACGAATCGAATCCAGATTACGTGGATTCCCCCGTCCAGCTAATGGAGCCTTGCACGGCCATGCGATCTCCAAGAGGCCAGCGCCGATCTTCTAGAGATGATCGAGCTCTTCGGGAGAAAGGTTCTGTTCCCAACCAGTTCTTGCAATTCATGCACTGAAGGGATCCTAGCGCCTAGCGGACTGAAAGTGTAGGCGAAGGCACCCTGCAAGTTTCGGTCGGCGGTTGGGTTCCCAGGCTCTTCAGATTTCGGTACGTGGTCGGGCTCCCAGATTCCCGAGCTGCTGAGATTGCAAGGGAGTGGTGAAAATATTGGGCCGATTTCGGATGTTGGTAGGGTTCTCGGGGTCTTGGGTCGTTGGTTCCTGGTTTGCGGGTTCTCGGGTTCTTGGTTGCGGCTGCTCTTTGCGAGCGCGGGCAAAGTTGATAGTAGCCGGTCGATCTCACAATGTAGAAGGGTAGGTTTACGAGAGGGAGAGAGGGAGAGAGTTGATAATAGAGAACAGAGCGCGTAAAGAGGGTATAGTAAGTAGAGTGAGAGAGCGAGAGAGAGAGAGAGGGACATGTGGATGTTCACAGGTGTGGTCTTTACTGGTATAGAGCAACGAAAAGAGAGATATAGAGAGAGGGAGAGAGAAATATACAAAGAGAGAGAGAGGGAGATAATGCGGAGGGAGAGTGGAGAAGAGAGAGTAGACAGCGTATGTACACACATGCATGTATGTATGCATGCATGCATGTATGTATGTATGTATGTATGTATACTTGTGTGTATATGTGTACGTATGTGTGTGTATGTATGTGTGTATGTATGTAAGTATGTAGATACATATATGTATTCAGATGGCTCTGTTCACATGCGGGTTGTCTACCTCCGAATGTCGTCGAGGGCCGTCCTTAAATGTTGTTGCTCAAGACTGAACGGGCCCACGCCCCATGCTGGCAACTGTCACCCTCTTCCTCGGTTGTGCCTTTCAGGTAACCGTCTCATATTTCTCTCGGTGTTCTGCGACGCCGCCTTGTCCTCAGCGTCCGAGCTGTCCGACGGCCCATCCGTACCCTTCGTGTGCGGCGTGTCCCGCGTGCCCACGGGCCCCGGCGCCCATCGTGCAGGAGTGCCTAGCGTTCGAGTCGATCTCCAGCGAGGCGGTTGCGACTAGCCGCCAGGGCCCTGAGTGGTTCGTGCTCGCCATCGTGCTGGGTATCATCATCGGTGTGAGCGCCAGGTGCTTGGCGACTGCAGCTTTCGTGTGAGTTGGCGCAGACGGTCTGTGAGCGGATCGCCACTCGAGTCCGATGGTTTCTCATCAGCCCGACCGTTGGGTGTGGGTGTTCTACGTCGGCGACCCGCTCTGGCATCAGCGTCTGGTGTTGGCTCGCTTGCGGCGATTGGCCCCGATTCCGATTGAAGAGTGGTGCCTCGTCATCTGCACGCCCGACGGTGTCGTGTACGTTGAGGGTTACTCTGGCCAGTCAGCCGACATCGCCGCCGTCCGCTTCTGCCAGGACCGCAACCGGCCGCCGGGAATCTCGGCGCAAGAGAGCTACCGTTTCCGGCGCGCGAGACCTACGCGGCCGCGATGTTCGCCGCCGAAGTCGCGGCCGTGGGCCAGCCGTTGGTCGCCCCAGCTGCGGGATGCTCGTCCTCGTCGTGGTTGGAGTGATGTATGTAAAGACTTGGAGGAGACCTCCCACTCGACCTGGTCAGCGCCTGGGCCTCGCACGGCGAAATGGTGTGCAGAATGGCTGGATCGACGCTCGTTTTGGCCCGTGGCGCACCACACGCAATTCCTCAGCTTGTTCTCTCTCAAGCCCGACGCCTGGGGAGTCGAGATGCACGCCGCCGCCCTTCGGGTCCTGGAGGAGACGGCCTGCTTCGATGGCGCCAACATCTGTGTCTTGGCGTGCATTGATGCCCTCATGAGGAAGGCTCAGCTCCCCGAGTATGTCTACTGGATGGATTCCATAGGCGTCGCCGAGAGGTCGGGCAACAAAGACAAGAAGCCATCAGGCTCGACCGTTTCTTTCGTCGGCCTCATGGATGAGGCCGCCATCTTTTCAGGCCTCAACAAAGACACGGGGTCTGGCATGGTGCGTCCAGCGCTGCTCCATCGTGTCGCCCGCGAGGTGGAGAAAGACGCAGCGATTCTCAAACGTGTCGGGAAAGCCAAAGAGGAGCGGGCAGCGCTCCTCAAGAAGCAATGATGTCTTTCAGAAGCGGTTCGGAGGATGCCTCTACTCCGCAGCCGGACCGAGAGGCACTTAGTCATTCCGTCGCATGGCCACCGTCGCCCTTCGCGATGCCTGCTGGTGTCGGCGCCGAGCGGCCGCGCGACCTCCTTCCTTTTCCCTGTCGCTGCCTGCCCGAGGTGGGCCCAGCCTCGCCAGTTTTGTCCTGGTCGGCTCGCAGGCGCCACCTCTGCCAGGCCCACTCGGCTGCGGCGTGCAAAGACATCGCTTCAACCCTCAATAAATTTGTTTCAGGAGGCGTTGCGGGGCCAGGGCCGGCTCATCCCAGTGCTGCCCAATCCGAGGCGTTCCGCTTCCTCTGCCGCGCTGCGGGTAGTCTCGGGCCCCCCCCGGCTCGCGTCTCGGGCGCGGGGGCATTCAGCGAGCTCTGCGCCCGGCGCGCGCGCGGCGGTGAGCTGGCCGCCGTGGCGCCGATCGGCCCAGACAATGTCAGCCTCCTCGACCCCCCGTCCTTCGGTAGCTTTCCGAAGCCCCGGGGGGGGGGTCTCGTCGGTCTGGAGGGTGATTTTTTGGCGCGGGAATTTTCTAGCAAGAGCGTTCCCGAGCGCCTTGCGCGCGAGAAGATGCGCCGCGACGGCCTCGCCAGGCCGCGCGCAGACTCTGCCCTTGGGCGCACTCCTCGTTTATGCGCCTCGGTCCTAGGCGGCTACGGGAGGCTGGCCTGGTGGAATGGGGGCCCAGGTGCCGAGCGACGGTCGGGGTCTTCGCCGCATATAGGAAGTCTGGTAAACTTCGGGTGATCATTGACGGGCGATTATCGATCTGTTGGCTTGAGGGCGCCGACGTCGTGCACCTTGCCAGTGGGTCCTCGTTCTCCTCGATCCAGGTCGGCCCCGGTGGCCGCATCTGCGCGGGCGGGGGCGATGTGGCGAACGCTTTTGACAATTTGGCTCTACCTGAGGACCGCCGGTGCTTCTGCGGACCCCCTCGCATCCGAGCTGGGCAGGCTTGCGTTTCTATGGTCTATGGTGAAATGGGGCCCCGGTGGCCCTTTCAACCTACATCATTCCTTTGTTCACCGCGATCCCAATGGGTTGGAAGTTATCTCTCCGGTTTACGCAGCATACCTCAGAGGTCCTTTCCATGCGAGCCCCTGGTCTACCAAGAGACGACGCTCTCTTCGACGGTAGGCCTGCTCCTCCTTCGTCCTCTAATACACACTGAGCATGTCGACATGTTCATCGCTCTCAGCCAGTCGCGGCAGTCCGCCGGCGACGCCGCCCGATCTGTCTCGGCCGAGTTGGTTCAGGCTCAGCTGCCAGCGCACCCAGTGGAGGAAGCGCGAGGAGGCATTACCCTGGGGTGGATTTTTTCAGACGGCTTCGCGGGGGTCGGAGTCAACCCCGTTGCCCGTTGGAAGTTCCGCTTTGGTTTTCAGGAACTCGTCTGGCAAAAAACGCGCCTCGGGAAAAACGGTCGAGATGCTCGTGTCCCACTTTGCGTATCGGGCGTTGGTCAGGCGAGAGCTCCTGCGCGTTTTCAGCGCGGCCTACTCGCTCGTAGAACATGCTGGCGATGCAGCAGTGGCGCCTTGCACGGCCCGCTGTAAACAGAGAACTCCTGTGGGCCGGCCACCTCATCGCCCAGGCAATTCGTGATCTGGCAGGTCCTTGGACTTCGGAGGTCTCAACGGTTGACGGTTCGAGCTGGGTCTTAGGGGCGTGCGTTCAGGACGTGGGCCCCCTGGCCGTGGCCGAGTTAGGCGCATTCAAAGAACGATGGAGGTTCACCCGGGGAAGATGGGGTGGTTTCCGCGGGGCTCGGCCTTGATGGCCGCTCGCTTAGGTGGCTTCTGCGCGCCCTCGGCGTCGTCGTCGCGGCTGGATTCGGCTCTGGACGTTGGTGGGCCCATCCTTCCCGTCGGCGCCCTCGTCGATCTGGGACGGGGAGTGGCGCCTCGTTGCCTCTCGGGCGCGGGCCCGCTCCGAGTCTCAAGTTTGCATCGGTGGTCGTGCTATGGTTTGGTCCATGAAGCGGTGCGCTAGGTCTCTTGCTTCGTTTGGCCGCCGTCATTTGCGCCTCGGGGACTCCATGGCGCCCATCGTGGCCGTCGCGACAGGTCGGTCATCAGCCAGGGGAAGGTGCGGATCTGCCGACAACATGCCGCCCTAGCCCTCGCCTCACCCCCATGCCAGGCGGGCCCCCTCAGAGCACCACGCCAGCGACCCTCCGTCACGCAGCGCGCCGCTGGCTCGAGCACCCGCCAGTCAGCGAGTCTTGGGGCCACCGCCAGGGTCGGAAGGAGTGGCGCCCTGCCCGCCGCCGGGCGCGCTCCTGCGGCCGACGGGGCAGCGGCGGCCGAGGCTCGCGAGCGCCGCGTCAGTGCCGCTGGCGGCCTCCTCGGCGACGCCTTCGACAGCTTCGGCGCCGCTGGCGACGTGGGCCCCGACAGCTGCGACGGGGCGACCCTGCCCGACGCCCAGTGCGCGGGCCCCCGTGCGGCGGCGCCCGGCGGCGGCGGCGGCCCGCCCGAGGCCGGCCGAGTCGTTCCCGGCGTCGGCCGCCCGACGCCCTCGCGCAGCGCTCTCGACCGAGTCGCTCTGGAGAGCGCCCGCCGCGAGGACCGACTCCGCTCCTGGGCTCGCCGGCGCCCTCAGGCTCCGCTGCCGCCCGCCCCGGGGCGGCCCTTGCTCGAGAAGAGCGTCGCGCGGCCCGCGCAGCAGGTGAGGTGTCGCGAGATGGGGCAGGCGTTCGCCGACTCGGCCATCGGCGCGCGGCTCTCGACGGCGACCGTGGACGCGCTGGACCACGAGGTGGCGGCGCACTTCCACAACCTTCTTCAACGGCGAGGTGGTGGACAAGGCGTCGGCGCCGCTGGCCGCGCTCG